AGTAAAAATATTCGCAAAATGTGTTGTTCAACATGCTTCAGTATAGCATGTGACAAAAGGAATCCAAAATTGGTTTGCAATCCATCTGAATTTGATGAAACTTGCAAAAGCTTGTTAAATTGTAATTGAAACTTGTTTTAGATTCTTTATAAATTCAATAATAGTGGTACTTAGTTTTGATACTGATGTTAAGCATATTTAATAAATAAAAGGACAAATAAACACCAAAGCAACCATCTGTAACATTTATTCAAAGTTAAAGATGTACATTTTTTCCATGACCCATGCTTGACTGCTATATAAATAAGTACTTGTGTAGATAGCAGGACTCGGAGGATGTCTACAGGACAGCACAGACATGAACGAGTGTGATTATGTTGGCTAAGCAGTCATGATTTCTACAGAACACAAGAGTATTCACTGGCAGAGATGAGATTTTTTTTCTTCACTTTTCAACAAAATAACATTATTTATCATATCTTTTCTCCAACATCTGTAAATACCAATTTCATTAAGCCTCCTGGTATTCACAATTATATCCAACAATTCATGTGATTTGATGAAACAAAGACAAAACAACTTCCTTACTTTAATAGAGACCATGATTGATATGGAAAAGCAATAACATGGTGTGTATATGAAAGATATTGAGGTAGTTAACCCTCTCTTTGATAAGTTGTCTCCCCTTGATTGAGATCCTAGACCTGTGTGATGACAATATGTTAACCCACAGATTCGGAACATCTCACATGTATAGAATTTTTCAGAACAGCAGACAATTTATTTTGCACCGTTTTTGAATATTCTATTTTTCTGCTGATAAATTAAATGTGTTGTAAATATAGACGAATCATTTTTCTCTGTTAAACAGTTATTAGTACGAAAAATCTAGTACGAAAAATCTATTCTAAGATAAAACATTCCCAAAGTCAATATTTTCTTTCATTAATCATAGAAAATAACCATTAAAAAAGGGATTTGTGAAAAAGGGATACCCGGTGCCTCAAATATACAGGGACATATAATTGATCTTATATATAGTAAAATTGTATACACTCCGGGTTCATCTCAAAACACAACTTAAATGGAATGCATAATCTTCCACTTCAATTTCCACCTCTCTAGTAAAAATAAATGTCCTCATTATGCCATGGCAGTATTTTATATCATCTAACAGTTATAGTCACGTCTTTAAGTGTGTTTAGTTTTGTTGCAGATAGTTTTCAAAGAAAGAATCAGACAGCATATGTACTATAATATACTCCACTGTAAATTAACGTTGGCACATTATAGATACAAATATACAGAAACTTCTCTTTATTTTCTCCATGATAGAATTTATAACATTAAATGGATTTCACTGATGAAAAAAACACTAACTTGATTCTTAATTTGCTGTAGACATGAAACAGTATTACATAGAAGTGGTAATGATTTAGCACAGGCTTGAGGTCAACTACAGTAGGGAAAGGAAAACACTAGAAATCGCTCTAAATCTGCAGATATAATATGTAGGTCATAACGCTTACACAATATGTTTTGGCCAAAACAAAAGGACACTTTCATTGGAGGCTGCAATCACAGCAGCGACACCGACACATTACCGCCCCTTACAGACTCTCTTTTATCTGGTAAAATAATTATCTCGTTCCGCATCTCTACAGCACACACATTACTCAATAAGGGAGAATATAATGTAAACTTATTGCTAATTCTGACTGAGGTTTCCTATTTGAGATGATACTGTGAGAAGCTGGTTGAGACTACCAGGAAGATCCTCACTGTAGTGATATAGTGAAAAGGGGAGGGCTTCGTTTGATTAAGTCTGGCCTGTCTGACAATATGGCACAGTAATGACCAATGCCTGTGTTACTGTGAACAAGTTGTGTACTCTATACAACAAACACATACAGTGAAAGATGAGTACCGACGTACCGATAAAGCCAGATGCTGGTCTAACGTGCACCAACTGCACAATGTTTCCATTACATCGTATCTAGTTTTGTTTTCATTGCATGCCCCCGAAAATTCACACAACACTGAAAATGAAAAACGTATACTATGGAGTGTATATGTGTGTAAAACTAATATAATTCTATATCTACATATGCTAGGAGTTTGATACTGGTAAATGATTTCCTTGGTCTACATGAATAAGCCAGACTCCATCACATGGATATAAAATCAAAATTCATCTAGTGAATGTGAAAATGAACAAACATACATTTTCATCAGTTCAATATTATCTGAAGTGGAAAAAGAATTTTCCTAAAAGTTTGGCGCAGAAAAATAATAGCTCTTCACTTATGCAATGAAATTGTTTCAAAACTTCTTTGTGCAATCATCTGTCAAGGAAAACGGACTCTCTATCTAAATAGCTAGTGTGAACCTACAGAGAAAGCAAATCTACGCTAAACTCTCACAACCTAGTGAGACAGCTTCTACGAGCATTTGGAAAAAATATAAAATTCAACAAACATGAAAAACTGACAAAAAGCCTAGTGTAATGGTAAACTGAATGAGTGACTAGTTGTTTGTACCTAATTCCAGCATAAACAAAATTATAAAAATCTACAGGCAAGTCGGACAACAAAGTAGCCAGGTAATAGGGACAAACTTTACATGGCGTGGTTACATAGTGACATTTGGCTAGTGGTGTTGACCTGAACAGCAGTTTAAAAGTGGTTATAAATGTACTTTCACCCGAACACATGTACAGTACATCGCAATAATACAGCTGGCACACCTAACAATGATGTACATACAATTCTTTAAATGCTGAAAAAGGGTGGTTTGGTTTTGCTTGTAAACAGTCTTTTCTCCATATCATAGTGCATGCCAAGCTACCAGACGACAAGGTGAAGGGAGATAATCCTTTACTATGTCCCGAGGAAACCTCTGGTCATATAACATTAACAATGGAGAGTAATAATATATAGCAGCTTTTGTATTTTCTATTATGCTAAACATACCTTTCATAGCTGATATATCTTCCAAGTACAATTATTTATCATCCAATTAAATCTTTATCCGATTTTCTCCCTTAGACTGATAACATGTTAAAAGTACAACAGGAGATAATATGTAACATGCAGATACATATAAATACCACATCCTTTCTATATTGCACAAGTCATGTTATACAAGTCTTTTGTCCCACGTACCCTGGCAAGGTATATCAGAATGGTCCTTAACATGATCCCACGTTCATTAATTACACAGACCCCCGACCCCCCCCCCCCCTTAAAAACACTTGCAGGATGCTAACGAACATCTACAGAAGATCACAATCTACCAATTTTATAGGTAAGTTTATAGTTTATATCTTTGCAAGGGTTTACGGCTTGCAACTTTAATGTTAGTGTGTATGTCTATAGGAACATTGAAACCTGCATAAAAAATATTCATGACCAAAGATATTAACAAAACTTATTATTCCCAAGATTGAAAATAAAGCAAACCTTATGCCAGAAAATATCTTCACGTAAGCGAGAACCATTGCAGTTATATACCAAACTATATAAATTGTGGAATCAAATTTGCAAAACTATATACATCTTTAAACTGATAGAGCAAAAAATGTACAACTCATTACATCAATTTCACTCTTTAAGATTAATACACGTCACACAGTTACTTACAGTTCTTTCCATTGAAGCTGTACATTTATTAACTCATTCACCCATGAAGACACATTTGAACTCTTCCGATTCAAAGGTTGGAAAAGTTCATCATGAAATTTCAGGGGTGAATGAGTTAAACATGGCCTGTCACTCATAGTACTTTGTTAATTATCACAGATGTTTGTTTTCTTACCACCCTATTTCCCGTAAAAAAGTCTACCTTCCTTTATCATCTATAGTAAAAGGGGAAATTCTACCATATGGAAATGTTCACATTGACTCTTTGATCTAATCGCAGTGGAAATTTTCACGGTGAAACGGTTCTGAAATCTAGATATAAATCTTTATATAAAATCTATAAAGAAAACATTGAGAAGTCCTTGTGTTGGAATTAAATATAAAAAATAGAACAAAAGACAGAGAAAGCGTCTCTAGGCCTTTCTCGGGTTGATTCCCCGTTCATCAGGAGACCGTTTATTTTGAAAACAGGCATTGTGAGGTCATAGTTGTTTACACAAGAAAGTATGACGTCATCAATAATGCAAAGTCATTATGACGTCACAATGCCTGTTTTCAAAATAAACAGTCTCCTGATGAACGGGGAATCAACCCGAAAACGGCCTAGAGACGCGATCTCTGTCTTTTGTTCTGTCTTTTATATAAAATCTATATATATTTATATAAAGAATTCTACATCACCTCTCATAATTTTGCACTAATTGACTCAACGAGAAAAACGTGAGCATTTCCACACTTCAATAATGGCCACTTTAACAGTATACCTGGCCTAGATATCACAATAATGGCCACTTTAACAGTATACCTAGCCTAGATATCACAATAATGGCCACTTTAACAGTAAACCTGGCCTAGATATCACAAAACTTTTACACTCTAAGAATTTTGCTAAATTAAATATTCTTAAATTCTGTATTTCCCCTCAAATGTATCAGAGTTATAATTTGTCAACTATTTTCAGTGAAGTGGTGATTTCTTCTTCTCATATTCAGAAACATTTTACTCTTTTAATCTGATTTTGAAAATTGAATCCGTTGTTTAAGTTTAACAATCGTGTGATTGAGGAGCCATGCCTGACCCTACAATGTATATGGAGATAACTCTAATTCTAATCAGGAACTCTACTGACTTTATCTGAAATTACACGACTGTAAAACATGATTAAACTAGGAAGTAAATATTAAAATCCTCTAATATTGAACCTGGTATCCTCTATAATCTACACCGATACCCTTAATAATCTATAATAAGTATCTACTGACAGTTATATTGTCTATCACATATTATAGATACTGGTTTAACTGCAGTAAATATATTATTCTACATATTTGGGTATGTATATATATTTTCTTTATGTAGTTTATATGTACCAAGCGCTAACTTTGTGAATTGGACGTGTAATATTGTGTAACAGAATGGAATATGTCAAACGATGTGGTCATGAAAAATCATACAAGCCAATATAAGCATATTGTGTCGTAAATCAAGAAATATTTGAAAACATTTTTTAGCTTAATTTATCAGTACAGTTGATTAAGTTAATGAAAGTGTACAGGTGACTTGAAGTTCTGATATATATTTGAGCAATCTGGGAAATGGGAAATCCATGTCAAATGATGTTGTGTTCATCTAATAGAACTAAATTAGACTGAAATCTTGTATCCATGTCTGTTATCCATTAATGAAGATATGGAACAGTGACCTAGAAACTTATGATATCTCAGGAACACTATCCCCCTTCACAAACATCAAATAGCTCTGTCAAACATGTATGACACAAATCCATTACCAAGTATTTCCTGACTTACAAACAGTGAGTGCCAAACTTGTTTAAAACAAGGGAGTAATATGCCATATCTCATCTTTACACACATAAATAAATAGAACAACATGTACAGGGTGGTGTATCACATAACAGTGGGTAATTACAGCTTCACAGTCATCAGTCTTTTTATCATATAATAATTTGTTTATTTCTGGGGACATAAATAGCACATGCATACCTCGATAAACATTAAAAATTTACAACACTGTACATTTTTTTTTATAACTTATATAAAGAAAGTATACCTGTCTTTCTTTTTATTTTTATTTTCAAGCATGAAAACTTGCATCAAAATCACCAAAGAGGGCAGTAAATATTATGCACATCTCAAGTGACCTGACAGGAATATACCCATTACATATGGACCCAACGAAAAGATGGTAGCATTAATAATAACACATTCTACAAAATCTGCAAGTACAGGTGTCCTAGCCTTTAATTGTATACTGTGGGTTACATGGTCTCCACATACTGGGACGCAAAATTCCTCAAGCAATATTGTACATTATTTACTCAACATACACCCTGTATAATCAAAGTGGCTTTAACCAACTTGCCACCAATAGAAGTGACTGTTTAACACCGTAACATTTTGTTAGGACTTTCCTGTTTCTAATTTAAGATAATGTAGAATAGTTTCATGGGTCATGTAGGTATGTACAAGCTTGTATGTACGCGTACTTGGATCGCATCACAGATTTCAGACACACGGCCGGAAGCTGTTACAGATACACACACCAGCATATTACAGCATTGTTTGTGGACCCCAAACTGTCACAATAGTTGGGCCCGACAAATACAACCCATTCATTAACTACGGACAAGTCTGCGGGTCTTTGTGCCAGTCATTTTGAACACAACACTGATGAAATGGCTGAAGATAAATTCAAGAAACTCGCCAAAGAAAACTTGATATTGTCGAAAGCCTGTACGTATGTTGTGGGCTGGCGTGGATCTGTAATACTTTGGTGATAGTTGCTGTCCTCCCATCCCAGGCCTGTACAAGATCAGGAGGCAGCACTGTCAGGTCCATTTGGTTTCGTTTCTGGTGTTTTCTTTGATCGTGTCAGTCTCTCAAGCTCTGCAGTGGCGTCGCGTGTAACAGCAGCCTTGTCTGTTAGAGATAAACATAATTAATGTCATGTGTCAAATCAGTGATGCACTACAAAAGAAATTGGATTAAAACGCTATGTTTTTATATATTCTATAATAAATTTTGTGATATATACATATCACATCTCATTTCTGATACAAATTTTATTCTTTTTCTGAAAAACATTGTCAGTAAGTACTAGTTTAATTACATCTTCATGGTAGAGGATTTTTAGATGTACACAATAGTAATATTCAGAACAATCTTTAAACACAACAAAAGGTTTCACAAACAAAGGAATCACACACTGATTATTTTTAACAATGGAAACTGAACTTAAATATCAAGTTGAATGTGGTTTTTTTTAATAACAAAAATATAAGCCGACAGTTGGAGAATTTATAAAAAGCTATTAAAATGACACATTTAATGATATACGTACAATACAAACAAAATATTGCGAAGGAGCAAATGAAAATTAAAACAGCAAAACAGAAGTTCCAGTTTCTTCACCACAAAACACATCAATAGCTTCAGCAAACCAAGAAAATACTTCAAAGGCAGTGTCTAACACCTTTCCAATGTTATATTTATAAAAATTAGAAAAACAATAATTAATCTTTACCATGGGATGATTGCGTGTGTTTATATTACACTGTATGAATACCCTTCTCGAGATAATAAAACTTAATAGATTTTTTTTTTATTACAAAATTGAAAAGTGTATTTTAATACAGCATCATTGTAAATTGCTGTTTAATATTAAAATTTGTTTAGATGTCATGACCTCCTGCCCCCCCAAAAAAATGAAATTGTTGGCATGAGGATGGTGTTGTTTATGTGGTAAGATTATTTTTGAAATGTACAAAAAAATGATTGGAATTCACTGCAGTACTTGACAAGAATTATATGTAAAAATTATCTTGAGAAAACCATCATACAGTGGTTGTTTGATCACGAAAGATGTCGCCATCGCCAGTGCACAACATGCTTGTCTTACAGAGACAGGGTGATACACATGGAACCAAATTTACATTTACATGCTGGGTAAATTACAGGTGTACATACGTATCTACTGCAACTAAAAACTAATTCTTTTTTAAATAAAATTTCAGGATTTGATACGTGAAATTATCTAAAAGAAACTAAAAGAAGCATTTGACAGTAAAATAGACTGGAGAATGACATGTAAGCTGAAGTACTACTTGCTACGGCCTGACACCTTTTGTGATTCGTCCTCGCTTTTCTACAAAAATAATTGGTATGTTCCTTTGACCAGATGTTGTAGACAAAACAAAGCTGTTATAGTAGCAAAAATGATTTGATTTTAATTTTCAATCTTTAATGAGTTTCAGTTTCTTTATGTTAATGCAAATCATTCAACAATGTCTAGTATAACTGCCCTACAATACCGAAAATAAACTTCCACGAAAAAGTCGAGCACAACCCCTAAAACCAGAGACAGTGAGCATGACCCACAATACCCCCTTCTCTACTGGGTCCATGGTCCTGTTAGATGGTATTTTTAGTATGAGACCTTGACCTTTGACCATTATGTCTAAAATAAACTTGTTCAAGGTTTAAACAAACCTTTGAAGTTCAAAGTCAAAGTCTGCCAAAACATAAGGTATGTCCAAGGTAAGCTCTTGGGTGAAGTTTCATCAAAATCTGTCACGAATATGGTTACTAGAAGGATCACACCGAGTATGAATGACAGACAGGACAAAAATACCACATCCCCTTCTCAGTGCAGTGAGGGATACAACTGTTTGTATAATATGGCGGTAACTTTATAAATATATTATCCCACTCCAACTCTACTAATATCAGTAAACATTAGGTTGTTTAAATTAATCAATACATTTAAAACTAGAAAATGTCTGTAAGACATGAATGTCCCCGTCACCCTGTGAAATTAGTTTCAGTGTTTGATGTTCTATGAAAAGTTACAACCACGTCTTTGATCACGGGACGGGAAGGGACAGACATGGGCAACACTATATGCCCCCCCCCCCCCATTTTATGGCGGGGGCATAAAACAAATCACAATTTGTCATTTATTTTAAATAACCTGCATTGATGGGCTACACTCTGGTATTATATCAAGTTATTTACCTCACTAAATTTGGTCGGTGTAACTATAGTCATTTCAATGTCAGTAATCCAATATTTGCAGGAAATGAATTAGAGCAATGCTCACAGCATAATAGTAACATCACAAACGTTCTGCATTACTTCATATGCATTAATAGCAAAGCCACAATGCTAGTTTAATGAAGATCCCATTAATTGCTGGACAGAAAACTAAATTTATGGAAATGTTTCTGAATGAGAACAGCCTAGTCTAGCTTGACTGCCACAGCCAGTCTGATATAACCGCTCTCTCGTAACAGCCGGTTTTCAGCTAAGGGAGCTAACCCTAGCACACAAACACCATTTCAAATTTAAGTATAACAAATTAAAGATTAATCCAGAATATGCTATTTGTTTTTTTTAAAATGATAACCAACAAAAATAATCTTATTCTGAATATCATACATTGAACAAGTTCTTCAAACATTTGAAATTTGTGGCCTGGTAAACTGCCTGTTGTTATGGTGTGTGTATACATGGTTGGCTAACTGACTGGCGGTAGACTGTAGACTGGAGTAGTAGAGGCCCCAACACAGCTAGTTACGTGGTCAGACCGTGTTAGACACATCTACGATACACAACCTAGCCGAGGACTACAGACCTGAGTGGGCCTTCAACGGTTTACCTCTCGTTTGTTTTAACAAGGAATTCAAACTTCCCTGCTCCATGTTGGCATGCAATTTAGTCTTGATTGCGAATCGACTGGGTGTTGGTGGGCTACCTACATATAAGTACAAATCAGCTGGCTGGTGAAGATCTGGAGGCGTGGCCATGGTGCTCCCTAAATCACTACGGATTTACCCCGAAGCAGGATTGTCATTCATCTACCCCACCACCAACTCTAGATCTTGACCCTTTCTTGACAATCTAAGGTCAATGATCAGAGTACCAGATATTATCCTTTTTCAAAAGCATTTCTTTACTATACAAGGCAAACTATTTGAAGATCATCATTTCTGGTTTTTATTTGGCATATGAGAATTGATCTCACCTCTAAGTTCTTATAGATAAATTGTCTTTATAACATTTTCTTCTCCAAAAATATTTTCAATTGTAACAATTGTTTTGGAATAAAGATTTTTTCCTGAATAGCTCAATGCATTCTATCATTATAATGTTGTCAGCTATAGGATGGAAGCTGTTGACCTTCCAGACCTGATCCCGCCCACCACAGCTAATACAACCACACTTACCACTGTCAACCCCTGCTCGTATCATAATTACAATGTACACATAGATTACTCTTTACAAATCACAGAAATTGAACAGTGTTCATACTGATATGTTCAAATCTGTTCAATATGTATCTTCACATTCAAAATTTACAGTTACCAGTGTAAGCGATCTAAACATAAAAATTCAATAATGTTTGCTCATTAAAGTGTATGCAGCATCAGTGCAAACAATTCCTCGAACAGTGAAACATCACCTAAATGTTTGCTTCCTAAGATGGTCTCCCATCATTTGAAGCAGAAGTTTCAAAAAGACACTGATCCAATTATGTTCACAGCCTCTGTGGTCCAACAGAAGTTGCCCCCAACACTTGGGAGTCAGGCAAGATTCACAGCTGCCGACACAAAAGATGCCTACCCGTACAGTACACTTGATTTGATATGTTCCATAAGTGTAAAAATTGACAAATAAGCTACTTCTTGGTACTTTTGTTCCCTACCTAGTTTGGTGTTTTACACTGACTGGTGACATTGTAGAGAATCTTTGGCAAGAAAAGGACTAAAAATAATAACATAATACAAGATAACAATAGCCACATTGTCTATCTACACGTCAGTCAACATGCAGTGTTTACGTGGACCAAGGGCACACACATACAGTAGAGAAATAAACAAATTTTACACAGATAACCCTTCTCTCAATAGCTAGAGGTTTAACAGAACCATACTTCCCTTCCCTGCCTCGTGTACAAGATGATTCCCACAGATGTCTGTTACACATGTACTCACCTGCTTTAGTTGGGACAGGTGTGCGCGTGTTCTTGTTCAGTAGACTGTTAAAGAAGTTAGCTAACATCCCTTCACTGGTGTTCTGAGGATTCTTGCCGTCCAGCTAAAGTGACAATGGTTAGGTAAAGGTTATAACGGCAAGGGTACAGGTGAGAATTGACCAGGTGTCAAGGATCGACTTTGTACATGTAATTTGCCATTATGTGCAGTATCCTTATTATACAGTAAAGTAAGATGTCCACGTAAAGTCCTGTTTGAAATACTTATTGTAGTCAATGTTCTTATTTTCAGTGAGTATAATCAAGTATCTATTACAAGTATCTATTACATAGCTAAGTAAAGTTAACTCAATGTGACATACTAAGCAATGGACTGTTTGTAATCCTACCAAGTAAGTACCGGTAAGTGAAACATTGTTTTTGAGAATTCCTTGTTTTTCATTATGTTCTTATCGCCTGATACTTCCCCTTCTTTATATCTATAACACTGGGGTATGCAACCACCTAATATGTAGGTCATAATAAAACAATCTTTAACATTCTATTAGACTGCAACCATTACTGTCAAGAATGTGATTTGTCTCTTAATTTTAAATTTATCATATTCACTTTAGAGTTACTCTTGATATTAACTTGACCTCACATAATAAGCTGGAAATTTGAATTTTAAGAAAAAAACATTTAAGCAATAAACTGGCTACATGCTATACGTGGTATAACTTCACATGTGTTACACAAACAATGACTGTGTGCTATTGCTCAACATTCAGTTTGTGATACGTGACAGCTATATCACTGTCTGCAGCAACTAGGCAATTTATTGCTTCAATAAAACATAGAAAACACAAGGCAGCTATTATGTGTACGTTTGTAAAATTAACGCAATACACACCAATACATGCAAAAATCTAGCGGACAAAATACGATAACTTGAAAGTTGTAATGACTTTGAAGAAACATTACCCTGTTTACAGCAATTACATCGGAGTTCACGTTTAAAACAAACTGCCTTTACATATCTGTAGTGTTGTATTATACTGATCAGTTAGTTATGATTAGTAACGGGTATACAGATTAGTGGTTATTCTTCTGCAGTGTACAAGTACATAGTCCCTAAAACAAACACTTCCACCTAGCTAATGTCATTGTAACTGTAGTTTGTCCTTGTCTCCGATACCTATGTCTCATGCATACAGAGGCTAGGAGTTCCATGCCTTGATACATAGCCTAGTTCGATCGTTGTGTTTGTTACATGTTAAAGTACAATGTATGTAAATTTCAATTTGAATATCTTCCCTTATCTCCAAGTGAAAGTTAGCAATTATCAATTCCTTGCTGGCCCCATAAAAATATCCTCAAAATATCATGGATTTATAATTTTTAAAAGGGGTTGATTTACAGAGAGAATTTCTATGTATATACTGGTCTGTCTCATATAAACCTCAGTTCTACAGTGTTGTGTGGTGAGTACACATCTAGTTTGGTGATACAGGTCAATGATGTTCTAGGATGAGAATATAGAGAATGGATGACCTACATATGATCTAAATATAACCGGAGTCTGTGACATCAGGCACTGATACTCTAGTACTTCACTATAAGAGACTACCTACACTAAATATAACCTGAGTCTGTGACATTAGGCACTGATACTCTAGTACTTCACTATAAGGGACGACCTACACTAAATATACCCCGAGTCTGTGACATCAGGCACTGATACTCTAGTACTTCACTATAAGAGACGACCTACACTAAATATAACCTGAGTCTGTGACATTAGGCACTGATACTCTAGTACTTCACTATAAGGGACGACCTACACTAAATATAACCAGAGTCTGTGACATCAGGCACTGATTCTCTAGTACTTCACTATAAGGGACGACCTGCACTAAATATAACCTGAGTCTGTGACATTAGGCACTGATGCTCTAGTACTTCACTATAAGGGACTACCTACACTAAATATACCCCGAGTCTGTGACATCAGGCACTGATACTCTAGTACTTCACTATAAGAGACGACCTACACTACATATACCCCGAGTCTGTGACATCAGGCACTGAAACTCTAATACCTCACTATAAGAGACGACCTACACTAAATATAACCTGAGTCTGTAACATTATTATACTGATAAAAATAGAAACAGGCTGCAGGTATTATTTACAAAATATCAAATTCTCCAGCACACACCCAGAAAAATATGACAGTTGTAAAATAAAATAAATTTAAATGAAACTGTTTCAATACACTTCTAACAGCATGCAGAAAAGAAAAAGGAATTTCCAAACAAACTTCTACAGTTTAAAAGTATAGCCTAAAATATTGAAACAAGGCTAACAACAATTACATCATTTTCCTTAATTATAATTAAATAACTAAATGCAGGACTAGACTTTTTTCTACCAAAACATTTTTGGAATTCCTTGAGTTTTTCAGCATGCACACTTCAACTATTAATATATTAGGTTATGTTTCTCTGAGAGTCTGATGCTGTCAACTCAAATAAGATGACATGGTTACAGATTCAGAAGCAAGCCTACAAAGAGATGTAGTGGACAACAGATGACGATGATTTGGTATAGTAGTGCTTATATCATTTCACCAGAGGTTAAAAATCAACTTACCACCCTCTATATCAAAACAAACAAAAGAGGAAAACTTACACACAGCCAATGGGTTAAAGTTAGTAATTTTTGTGGAAATAAAACAAAAAATATCTTTAAAACTATTACAGTGAAAAAGCTCACCACATTCTACAATAAAACCTAAAGCACATCAAAACAAATAAAGTACTTTATCGTTACATGTCACCAACTCAGTAAGTGTTGGGTTATTTGTGATATAGGTTTGACCATGCAAGAACACTGTATCAATTCAGGCACAGTTGAAAACAAAATAAAAATGTTTAAACCAAACTTAAACCAATCCAATCTATAACATAGCACTATCGAAATCAAATTACTAGAAACTGAAGAAAATATGACCACAACACTGCCAATACATGCCTTTTTAGGAGAACTACTGGCCTGAGGGGTTGTTGGTCGTGGTGACGGGCTCTGTTTGTTGGTTGCGGCTGCTGGTGGTCGTAGCGGCGACTCCTTCATAACCACAATGTTAGTTTTAAAAAGGTACATATGCTGTTAATTTTTTTTGAATTGTTTCTTTATATATATATTTATATATCATAAATCAGAAAAATGATCCTTACGGATGAAGAAATATTGTAAAAAGAAAAATTCTCAACAATGAGTCTTTAGTACTTTCATCTCTTCTAGGAGATTCTTCAGACAGTTTATTTGAAGTGTATATATATATATATGAATTGATGAATTTGAAAAATTAATACAAATTGTAAATACTTGCATATTTCCCCTATTAACAAACTAAATGGTATCATTATCTGATGATGTCATTTGTTTAAAAGTCAATGAGAAACAAAATGTGATAATTTATCTGACATACCATTTGTCAATTTTTTCGTATAGGGGAGGGACCATTAGGAGATGATTATATTCTTTGGTCAACATGGAATAACACTATTTTTACAACTTCATACTACAATAACCCGAAGTGTACAATATCACACTAAACAATAACCCTGTCCCTACACACTACAACAAAACTCCTGGTTGACAACATCATTGGATGTAGTCCCAGGCTGATAAATAGAACCAAAACTTAATCCTGAACGTAGCATCCACAAAGGTTTTTACTGATATATCTGATAATGGCTATGGCCTGTTGGTGTCTCTACACCAGACAACACATGTAACAGGATATCACTTACTCCAGCTGCACCAGGGGCTGGCTGTTTGCTGAGTTGCATTTGTTGTTTCACCAAGAAAACTTGTTCATCTTCAGCTATCACCTCTGCATCCCGTTGTACAGGCTGAAACAATTTCATCATTTGCTTACAAATTCAACCACATACATTCCATCATCCATAAACACAACACTCTTATGATCTAGATCTGTACCAGGTGTACAGGTGCTTAATTAACATTGAAATATTCACATGTATCTTCACCAGCAGATGCTATCTTTTCACTTTATTGAAACCAACAGGGCAATGAAAACAGCTTAAATCAATGGAATGTTATAACAGCTTCAGCATCTATGTTCAGGTACATACCTTCCTCATCATTGGTTTCACGATAACATCTTCATAACAGTCCTCGGCCTTCATGCTGCTGAGGTTTTCATATAAAATCTTGATCTTCTTCTCATTATCCCAGCCAGTAGGACTGTCAACATACACCAGTTTTAATACATTCAGCAATTCAGGGATATGTTGTTATAAATGTGCGATGTAATAACTCATATTATAATTTCTACAATACAGTAATACGGCAAGGACAATACACATAAGGCAGTATACAATATACATAACAATTATCGACTTTTATTTCTGTAAAAGTTTGGTCTTCCGTCATATTGACCCTAAGAGTAATACTGACCTCAATTGGTCTGTCTCTCTTTCTCAAGACCATATAACCACATATTCACATCAATTACAGTGAGTAATTAATAAATATATACATATGCAAAAGCAAAATATGGCAGAGTAAAAATGTAAACTCTGCATCTGAACAACTCTTATCGTAATCCAGTTCAATATGAATTCAAATACACATTACACACTGATAATTATTGATGATGAGTTATGACAATTGTTTGTTCAAAGCTCACCAACTTCTCTTCTTATATATAAAATACCTGTATCATGATACATCAGAATATACATAGCCCTAATATAATACTGCATTGACTTGTTAAATAACCTACTAGTACATTCTACAAAAGCTACATAAGTACTCATGATATAAGGTTAAGTAAATATTCATTCAGTAACTTGCATTAACATTATGAAACAGAATCACAGTTGTTAGCATTAACAGGATGATACTTACACAAACACACTGTCTTTTTCTACAACATACGCCTGTTGTGAAAAGGGGAATCCATATATTCTATGTTCAAAATACCTATACAACAAATCACAGTTTTTATCTTCCTTCACAGACGTGTATACTAAGGCAGCACCAACTGAACATGGTTAAGGAAACATGTTGAAGCAACAAACATACATGCTATTTCCACATATGTCACTTTTATTTCCCAACAGGAATTGACCAAGGTATGTCTCTTTGTGTTGAGTCTATATATTGGAAAAAGAAAAGGTTAGAAAAATCCCGGTTAGAATGAGTCCACATACAAAATTTGGCCATTGTAATGACAAGAGTATATTAGATATGCCCCGGACAAGTTATGTTCAGATATACTGCTTGACAAATTATAGCCCAGTAGTACAGGTAGGGGCCTAATATTATCCTCCCACAAACACAAGACTATTCTACAGGAGAATGATTTCGTATCTAATATATCATAGAACCAAGGATACTTTGCAAGCAGAATTTCCTTATGTGTTGCTGGATGAAGTCAAAATGCTCCTCTCTGAAGTCATGTTCTTTCTCTAGTGTTGAGATCGCATCAGTCTGGAATAAAGCAATATGAATTGAACATCTGTTGCTGGAATTTCAATATCAAGAAACATCAACATGACAACTGCTGTTATGTGATACCGATTTCTGATTTCTTGAGGATACTATGCTCAAGAGTAAATGATATAAGAAACTTAATCAATGCAACATAACGATCTAGAACCTTTATGTAACATGACTAGCTGCAAAGTTCATTTAACTCAATCAGCACTACTAACAAAACAGACTGAAGTCACTGATCCCTACAAGGTTCTCATAACTGTTTCATTGCTGGTACTTAGATCTGTGATAAAAGACAGGCAGATCCAGTGAATTACTTGTCTGACAAACAGACTGTTTGTGGACACTCACCTTGGTAATGACCACTACAATTGGAATACCTAGGTTCTGTGACAGGGTATTTTCCCCGAGGGGTAGTAATACTCTGTCTTCCTCTGTATGGGGGGCAGAGGGGTGAAGGGGGTTCACGTCTCGCCGAGGGGCGGCCACAGACTGTGAAGTCTGACCCTCCTCTGGCTCTGTGTACTCCTGGAAGAACCTCACCACTGAAACGTGTTAGACATCCATGATACAACAATCTGACGTAATAATTAACCCAACAACATAATATCTACAAGACATAAAAGAAGATATTGGGTCGTTTACATTTTACCTCCCTATCCAATACAATAACTTACATTTTGCCGACAATACATTATTTCTTTACTTCTGTGAATAAATTACAGACACAATTAAATCATTGTATTTATAAACAATACATAAGTGATAAAGTCCCTGTATACGCATCAAAGCTTTCAATGATTTTATTGAAGAAACAAAACCCAACTATTAAACCTGAATCATGATTAAACATGAAAATACAATTAACAAGTGGTTTTAACAAAATGTTGTGAGATAAAAACCCACATTCTTTCATATCATCATTATGAAGAAATTTAACATTAGGACTTCCCTGTAGTACTAGGTTACCCTGTCAGTTTGGAGTGCTTTACACTTGCTTTCTCCAGTTGAATGATAGTTAATAACATCTAAAGTGATTCTCAATATTGTCAGGACAATCGTAATTGCATGATTGATTTATTCTGAAATGTATGCACTTTTGCGAGATAAATCAATATCATACATGCACTACATTTTTTTAACGCCAAATATTAATGCTATAATAAATTTCAACAAATATAACACATACTAGAGAAGTATAATGAAAATTTACATTATTTTTTCCTGCATTGACTCTAGTAATCATGTGCATGTAGTAAGTAGTGTCAAGGAAAACATTGCACTACTTCTTGTTCATTTTTGTTCATTTTTTTACACCTAGCTATATAGGAAGGCTGTGTTATGTTACTTTACATATATCGGACACATACAGGCATGTCTTATCCAACACCAGCTAGTACAAAGTATGTGTAATACAGCTACAATGGGCCCAGAAATCAATAGTATAATCCTTTCTCCAATCTTTTTATGATGAGCTTGTGCAGCATGTACATCCTACATTAGGTACATTTGTAGTTGTGTCACGCTGTCTATATCCCCACCACCTGTTGTACCGTCACCAATATATTGAAAGCTACACTGAGGAAGAATTGAGATATTCTGATACAACTGTAACCAAAGTGTGTAGAATTTCATCATTACACTGTAACTAGACACTTAATAGCTCTGGAAATGAATATTTTTAGGTTTTCAAAGTTGATGTATTTTAGATGACACTTCCAATTTGGCACCAAACTAAACGACACTCCCAGACAGACTTTGTTAGCAGTCTGGAGGTACTTACAGCTTTCCTCGTATTCTCTTCGATCCTCGTGCTGTATTTTGAGTCGGTCAATGTGTTCTCGGAGAACACTCGTCCACTTTTCCAGCGACTCCATGATTGACCATGGATTTGACATGGATGCCACTAACAAGACTAGATTATGTTCAAAATTGTCCTTTGTTACACAGTATTTGAGTAAACCGTTGTGACTGGGGTCACCGTCTAACACCCACACTCCTAACCGAGCTTGTTCTGAAGTGGGAAAAAAGAAAAACGTTAAGTTTAAGTTATAAATTCTGTTAAAATCACAATTTTTATTAAGAATTAAAAGCAAGTATTTAATCGATTTCAAAAACAACAGAGAGGGGTGACAAGTATATATACCCCTTGCATACACGTAAATTGTATAATGACAACGGAAATGTCATTCTCTGTATTCTGGCTTAAACTTTTGATCCCATTGCTTTTTGAGGTTTTTGGGGTAGGTTTTTGGGGTAGGTTTTTGGGGTAGGCGAATGCATAGCTGTCATATTTTGTTTACGGGCAGAAGGACAAGCTGATTCCAGTACCCCCCTCTCAACCTTGTTGCGGGGGGTATAATAAAAGAACATAGCTGATTCCAGTATGCCCCCCCCCCAACTTCGTTGCGGGGGGTATAATAAAAGAACAAATGTCATAGCTGTTAGCAGTTATCTGTGATGTGTACACCAACACTAAAACACCTACCATCTCTGTATTCATCTTTGATATCTATGAAGTAGTACTCTAAACCTGTCCCTTTCTTTGGTTCTTCTACACCTTGTAACTTTGCTACTAGGGTTGTTTTTCCACTTTCGTTATCTCCTGAAAAAATACATAAAAATATACCATTAGTTACATTTATGTATCCGATTGCAACTTTATGTAAAGTATATCTATCGTGCATCTGCTTTAATTTATACAAAAGAAGTAACCAGACTTTTAGAGCAAGAAAACTGAAATGTTACTCAAACATATTTCTAAAATAATTCAATACAATGTGAAAAATTTACTCTTAAGACTTTCATCTGCTTGTGTAAAAAGCTACACAAAGTCTTTTAAAATAGTATTTTGAAATAACTTGTTTAGGTGTATACTGCATACTTAGCATCCTAGTATTTTTGTTTCAGATTCAAGTGTAACAGATTCCCTTCAAGGAACATACCAAGTAATAATACTGATTTTGTTGAAGGAAGATTTGATGCCGAACTTGACTGGACTTCTCCCAAGATGGTGGCCCTGAAAGACAGAAAATGCTTCATTTCAGAACAATTTAAACGGGAACTTTAGTGATCTGTCTAAAAATCAAGCATAAAAAAGTTGATACCTTTGAACTTGTAAGGTCTCCAATCATTCTATTGATTATCTCACTGCAGAACAAATGAAACAGGACAGCAATTTTCTCCTACTTTTATGATCTCAATGCTGACTGGCTATCAAATTTTGAAAAGCAATACAACACATAAGATAATCAAAGGGCATGAACTATGAAGTAAGTTTGTTACCTATCATACGTTGTAATACTGTACAGTATGTCAACCCAAACTAAATAGGGTACAATGGTGTATTTTGAATCTACCCACTAGGGATTTAAGGTGTAATCCCTGGGACAGTACAGTATCCAACCATCTGAAATCTGACCATTTTTCTATGCTTCACGAAATCTACAGCACTTTCTGCATCATATTATCAAATGTTACGCCACAATCGCAGGTTTTCTGCAACAGGAACATTTTACTAGGGTATTAGATTTTGCAATCTTTATTATATATAGGTGTATTGACAGACAAGGCTACACTCGTACCTGTGGTACCAGGTATATGTTTATAACAGACAACCTGAGGGTGACCAGTGTAAAGCTACAACACTTTACCCTCAAGGAGTACAGTGATACATGGAACATGTGTACAGCAGTTAGGGAAGTAAAAGGAATGAATCAATTACCTGGTAATACATTTATAAGTATGCTACAGAATTTGCTGAAAGTCTAACGTTTTGGCCTTACTCTTTGTACCTTATGGTTTGCTGACCACATTGTTTTGCCAATCAAACAGTATTTCAGAAATGTATCAGGTAGGAACAAAGTGACAGATAGATGAACATATAAAGGCCGATCCATAATGAGACCCATCACTGTCAGGCTATTAAAGGAGGTCACAGTGACGTTATCATTTAAGTGTACACTGCACTCCAATTCACTGTTCAAAACAGAAAAGTAGGTCACTGATTATAATAACTGACGATCTCCTAAAACCTTTCAAAAAAAAATCTGATGCAGAATGTCTTCCATATGGTTTCTTTGTACAATATGTGGACATGCTTCAGTTTTCAAAAAAACTCTATGGAAGACATTCCGAGTATCTCTGTCCCATCAAAAGAAATTTGTTCTAGAAGAAGTCAGTTACAATGGCATACTGTGACATACTGTACTTCTATTCCTGAAGGTGTTGCCAAAAGGGCAAGGTATGGTCTAAATAAGAACCTCTGAAACGGAAGTATCCCTCTAAATAAAACATTTTATTGTGATGTAACAGCAAATAGATTGGGCACAAGTTTCATATGCCTGTGTCAAATGTCATTGAAATCCAAGCATATTCACCAAAATTTCAATACAGAATGCACAGAATAATTTGTTTGGCAACTTGCTAATGAATAAAGGTAGCAGTACTAGTGCTGCAGTTAGGCTGCATACATTCATAACTTATGCATGGATATTTCTTTCGGTTTTTAATGCTTTATAAGCATAAATAGGGATAAAATAAATCTCACTCAGTCTTGTAACATTACTCAAGATCTGTCCACAAGCTAGTAATTTGTAATATGAAATTGCACAACCCTAATGGTTTGCGTATATTTACATTTTTGTATCTCCCCGCATGTTTGGATAACTTAACAGATCACACAATCCAACCTTTTTTTAGGGGTGGGGTGGGGGGTGATCACAACAATTGCTAGGCAAGTGCATGGTATGTGTGACAATAATTGGTCACTGTAAGTATTAATTGGTAATAGGCCAAGGAATAAGCAATGGCCAGACGGCAACATTGAAATGTTTGAACCAGGGAACAGCAAATCTTTCGATGGTGTAATATAAGCAATAACCTCGTGTTGTGTCCCCTAAAATTAATAACAAATAAATTAAGACTGAGCGCACCATCAAAAAGATAGACACCCGCTCGATTAAGACTCCAGCAATATGGAAGCATAAATACTGTTTCACCTTACAGTGATTATTTGCCATCGTTTGTCACAAGTCATGTGACCAGGTTATCGGATAGCACTGGTTTCCATCCGTCAACATGCGAGATGATTCATTACAAACCGGCTGTCATTGACAGAAAATGAAGTACATCGTCCGAACATCAGATTATAGTGCTATATATTTCCTTAATCAGGCTAGAATGTCACTCCTCTGTCTTTAAGAGTTCTTCCATTAAACGATGCTTTATCTGCATCTTTGAGACTGAGAGTCTGCAAAAAATATGTTGACGGATAAATTATGATGAATTTAGTCGATCTACAAACCCTCGTACAATGACTTCAAATGATCAAAAATGCTATCTTTCTTTGCAATGGTTACAAAAGATTTCCCAAATTATTTCTGTGAGCATTACCAGAGATTCTGAGCTTCGCTATCGTCATCATCACCCGCTATCGCACCCATATTCTCTTTTCTCTCGCCTATGGGCGCCATCTTGGTCCGAAATATGCCCGGATATTGATCCACTGCGCATGCGTACAGTAGGCAGTGTTGTGTGGCAGATGGATGATTCAGAAGGTATGATGTCATTTGTTGTGTATTTGAGCCATGTATGCATGAGTTACGTTAATGGCCGATCTAAACTTGTCGTAATCACATGTTGAATTATTTTAAACGGTTAAAGTTTCATTGGTGAGGAGAATGGTTGTTTAATCTACACAATGTTCCGTTTCATTGTGCATCCTCCAAGGGCAGTTTGAACTATCTGACAGCTGAGCTGTAAGAAACATGGAGTTTCGGTTTACCTATACAACAGTAAACAGATATACTTCTTACGACTACAGTGGATTTTTATTGCATGGACGACTATTTTGGTGTTCTTACTTTAAACCTTGATATGTTCTTAATAATTGAATGTCTGGAAATCAAGAGAATTATGAACATGAAAAAAATAAAATGCATGCATTTGCATACTTTATGATAAAAATCTGGAGTTAACGTTACCACGGACTTAGATAACAATCTAACATTCCGTGACGTTACTCACTGTATAACCTTACTGACAAACTGTCCATGAATATGATCTTGTCATAAAACTGCATTATACACAGAATACTGTTATCCATCAATTTGTAGTTACAGATGGTGCAAAAATTCCCCTAACTTCCTTAGAAAGTACCTAGCTGTTGCTTTTGATATTTTTGTGGCAGGGTTCAATTGTACATAGGATTAAGGTCGCCTTCTAGCTTCGAACTAGGGGGAATTTCCCTTTGGCTCAGTGGTAGAGCGTCCAACTAGGAACCTGGAGATCGAGGGTTCAATCCCCGGTGGAAGCACACTATTCTCTTTCCTGTTACAAATGGTGTCCGTGGCCCTCTTTGTTGTGACAGGGAGTTAGAACCTGGGTTGTGGTGTTCGAGGGCGAACACATTTAAAAAGGGGGGAGTAGTGTGGCAGGGTTCAATTGTACATAGGATTAAGGTTGCCTTCTAGCTTCGAACTAGGGGGAATTTCCCTTTAGCTCAGTGGTAGAGCGTCTGACTAGGAACCTGGAGATCAAGGGTTCAATCTCCAGTGGAAGCACACTATTCTCTTTCCTGTTACATTTTTTATTATGAAATACAGAAACATTTTAATGTCAAATTATTCCTGACGGTAGCATAGATATCGTCTAGTCATTAGTTTCCGCGCATTATGTATTTCCGCGCAGCCATTTTATCAAGCTATATCTCGTAATAACGTGACCTAGTGCTGGACACAACACAAGGATATTTTAGGCGTTTGGCCATTGTCTGTAAACTGACACAAAAATTACCGGAAGTTCGTCCTGAAAACATAAGAATTAATCACTGATTAAAAAACACGCATAAATAAGCAGTTTTGCTTAATGCACTTTTTATCTTTCTCAAAATGAACCCATACCTGAAAAAACGGTGATATATTTCATTTATGAACCAGTCTTTTTTGTAGTCTGACAAACTTACGAAAATGTCGTATGCAAATGAGGTCACATCTCCTCCCCGTTTTTTTTTCCACTTCCGAAGAGCCAAGGAGACATTCTTATATCAATAAACAGTGTTTTCAATGAAACATAAACCAAGTCAATATTGGTTTTTATCTGTGGACAAGTGATGCACTCCTGGCCAATTACTTGTTGGGAATAATATGAAAAATAATAAATAAATTTATAAAATTACATGAATTCGTTCAATTTGACATCTTGAAAAATCAATTAAAAATGTGAATTTTAAAAGAAGTTGTTTTGATAATTAATTTGACGATCAAAGATATTTTTTTTATTCCAAACAAAGCTTTTGTTCTTGCTGGTCACTGTAGAGAATTTCTTTTTAGTGTATTCGAGTTATCTTTCTTTGAACACTAAATCAAAATAGACACACGGAAACATGACGGCTACTGCTGATGGGAGAAATTTGTTAAAATTGTTTGTTCTGATTTTTTTTTAAATACAGTTTTATGTTGCTATTTTTTTGTTTCCATTAGTAGATTGTATACATGTATGACAGTCATCCATTTCAACAGTTTTCTGCCGATATGAGTACGACATCGCAGATGCTTCTTAAGTGTGCGGAAACCGGTAACCCGAGGATATGAAATGCTGGAGAGGGCATGTGCCTACTCATGATTTTCTTAACTATGTTTGTTTATTATGTAGAAAAAATGGGCCATGTTTAGCTTGTTATTATGTAAAAATGGGTCTCTTGCATCATCAACACATGCCTGCACACAATTTATACTCCAGCTTAGCCCTGCATGAATGATTGCTTTGTTGATGATCATTGGCAAGTCAAGGCTACAACATAAAATATATGTGCACTTTTAACAAAAGATTATTATACATTTTTGATATGAATAATTAATTCTATCAGAATAATTTCATGCGTCAACTTGATATTTTTATGCGTTGATAGCAGTGGTATCAATATGTCATCACAAGTGGTGTTATTACTTTGTTTTTAAAAGCTCCTGAAACCTATGAAAATTGAAGTATTGGGACATTTTGAGTGTGTTCATGTACATGATAGAGCTTGTATAGTGTTCTGACAGTTGACTCTGTTTACTGGGATAAAAAGGATGTAACAGTTTATATTGTTACCACCTTCATCACACCTGATATTAAGGTATGAGTGATTGAATTCCTGCCACATACAAAGTGTTGTTTTGATGTTAATTGAGATAAAGAGAAACACAAGAGAACATGCGTGTTTTATTAGCAGATATAATCAGTTAATCACTGATGAGTTATGACATACAAAACATCATCAGATCAAGGCCTTGTGTGACGTAACGTAGGAAACCTAGATCTCACAGCTATGGACACTTTCACATGTATAGGATGCTGTGGATCATGTACATTTGATGGTAGTGAGAGGTTACGTATAAAGGAGTCAAGGTCATGTGACACTTTCTATCAGTATCGTCACTTCAGCTATAATTAACATCGTCCTTGGTTGTAAACGTACCTTCAGGAGTCAATAACCTCAAGGGCAGCTTTTATGCAACAATATGTCTAGGTGTTTTTGTTTGTTGTTTTTGATCATCTATCATGTCAATAACATTTGTTAATATATATATGGGTATAACAGGGTACAAGCTTGAAGGCATATTTCCACCAATCCTATAGTTAAATCAGGTATTAAAGCACGATGTAAAGGGTGACAGACTAATCTTTCATTGGATATGTTTATAAAGAAATATTTGCATGCATATATATTATGTAAAATGTTCCAATTATACTTAAAATCTAGTTTTCCTCAATTTTCAGTGCAAACTAAACTAGTACATTATATATATCTAAACCCAAACAAGTGATTCTTACTAATTATATCTATCATGGCTGATTGGCTTTCAGTAAAATGATAACATTTTGTTTCTGTGTATTTCTACAGCTTTTTACTTCATTGTTTCAAAGAGTGATAAATTAATTCAGTTTGTGATCATTGGTGTCTAATTTGTATATAAGGCCAAAAAAAAAATATAGTCTGTTTAGTGTTACATTGGCAAAAAACTAGGGTAGGTAGGTCGTTTTTTTGTTGTTTTTTTTGTATATTTTTGGTCATGTGATTATGACTGTACTATTGTATGTAAAACAAAGAATTACATAAACAAGGTTCATTTGGAGGCAAATTGTGTGCTCCATATGATGACATTTAGCGCCAACACGGAGCTGGAAGCCATTTTGAAAGGCAAGGAACCTTCTAAAATTCGAAAAATCAGCAGGTTTTGTTTTTGTTTTTTTTTCATCAAAAAGTTTTGGGTCGGGGGTAAAAAGCTAGGGTCGGTCGGGAACCCTAAACAGACACCTTTTTTTTTGGCCTAAATATAAACTTTATTTATTTTACAACAATTATGATACAAGTTATTTCAACTTAATAATCTCTCTTGTTGGCCCGGATGTTAGTGCGTGGGGGTTCTTAGTGTGGGAAGAAACCGGAGTACCCGGAGAAAACCCACATGGTCGGGCAGGTGACCCCAAACTTTTTACGTCTGAAAGGGGAATCGAACACCGGCCGCCTTGGTGAAGGCAAGTGCGCTATCCACTGCGCCACCCGGCCGCTAATTTGTATAGCAGTCATGTTCTCTGCATGCTTTTACATGTAACTGGTAACTACGTAACACTAGTTGATGTTTACTCAGTATTTTTGTTACCTAAATTTTACAACAGCCTGTTCCTTTATGAATTGGGAAAATATAGCAGTATATTTGTATTGAAATTGGGAATATATTCCAAAGTATTTGGTGATTTTGGGAAATAAGGCACTTTTATGCTTAGGGGGAAAAAAATCCTTTATTTGGCAGCAAAACTGTGCAAAAAAAATCTCTGTTACTGCTCAAGTTAATCCACGGTGGAAAAAGTGCCTGGTACACATGAACCTGTTTACCGTATATCTGTGACATATTTTTCTAGTGTGTTAAGTTGTCATCCCCAATGGTCTTCATAATGAGATTATTTTGTGAGGTGGGGGACTCTTTGTGAAGTTAATTAATGTGTTTTTCGGTAAGTGTCAATATTTCTGACGTTGATAATGAGATCAGGGTGAAATCTGTACCATGACTCACCTGCCATTTTGTTAGCATTATATGCCCTACCTGATTTAGTAGCGGTATGTTAAAGCACGCGCCCAGGGTAAGCCAGATTGATGTGCAATATATCGTAGAGGATTTTCTACACTGAGCCAGAAGTGTGTGTTGTTGAGCTGTACAATACATGTATGTATACTATGGCCGGTGATACAGAAGTAACAGGGGAGGGCCATGTTGCAATGATAAACCATGGGCACATTAGACATTTTTGTCGTACATATATCATTATTACATTATCCTGGAAAGGTGTGCAGGTACAGAGTTAGATAAAATGATGCAGTAGAGATATAAGCTGTGACGGCTGGGCTTTCTAGACAGTTGTTCAGAGGCTGTTACAACTTAATAGTTCATACTGTACCTGCTGTGTTTATATACAATCTTAAATTTCTTTTAAGTGGTATTTTTCTTGAGAGGCATTTTAACAGAATTTCTTACTCAGAGGGTGAATTCGTTTTGAAACATTGTTCAAGCTCTGGACAGTTTGAAAATAATTGAGAAAAGCACTTTGTGGCATTATATTGAGTGATTTTAACAGTGTATTCAGGCTACTTGTTTGTAGTATAGGTTTTGTGATACAACATACAGCTCTCTGTCTGACAGGTTTGATGACGAGGAGGATCAGCTGATGTAGGATGGAATGTACTGTGTTAGTGGAGACAACCAAACGACAGAAGAAGAAGGTGATTACACCTAACACCCCAGAGCAGGACCTGTATCTGGCTATAGAGCGAGGTGATCTCCATGACGTCCAGGTTCTGCTGGAGAGAGGCGTGGACCTGTCCTACAGACTGGAGGGCTGGTCACCATTGACGGTTGCCTGTGAATACGGACATGAGGAAATTGTAGACGCTATTGTGAACCAGCTGAAAAATGATGTAAGTCCCACTTTTTTATAAAGTATTTTATGAAGCATTTTTATATTGTAAATTAACAGGTGCCAAGGATATTATGAAAATAATATTTGATCGCAAATTTGAACCTGTGTGTTAAGTAAATTATTGTTTGATACATGGTGATGCGAAAAAAGAAAGTGGGTGAGAAAAAGAAAATTAAGTTATTTGTGTTCTGAGTTCAGTATATTACATACAAATGGTGATCATGAAGCAAAATGGTATTTTGAATTAAGGATGTCTAAATAAGATTGTTACTAAATACATGGTACTGAAATGATAAATCCAGCCCCGAAATACTGTTACTAAATACATGTGACTGAAATGATAAATACAGGTGTGAAATACTGTTAATAAATACATGGTACTGAAATGATAAATGCAGGTGGGAAATACTGTTACTAAATACATGGACCTGAAATGATAAATCCAGGTGTGAAAGACTGTTACTAAATACATGGTGCTGAAATGATAAATACAGGTGTGAAATACTGTTAATAAATACATGGTACTGAAATGATATATACAAGTGTGAAATACTGTTACTAAATCCATGGTACTGAAATGATAAATCCGGGTGTGAAATACTGTTACTAAATACGTGGTACTGAAATGATAAATCCAGGGGTGAAATACTGTTACTAAATACATGGGACTGAAATGATAAATCCAGGTGGGAAATACTGTTACTAAATACATGTGACTGAAATGATAAATACAGGTGTGAAATACCGTTACTAAATACATGGTACTGAAATGATATATACAAGTGTGAAATACTGTTACTAAATCCATGGTACTGAAATGATAAATCCAGCCCCGAAATACTGTTACTAAATACATGGGACTGAAATGATAAATCCAGGTGGGAAATACTGTTACTAAATACGTGGTACTGAAATGATAAATCCAGGTGTGAAATGCTGTTACTAAATACATGGTACTGAAATGATATATACAAGTGTGAAATACTGTTACTAAATCCATGGTACTGAAATGATAAATCCAGCCCCGAAATACTGTTACTAAATACATGTGACTGAAATGATAAATACAGGTGTGAAATACCGTTACTAAATACATGGTACTGAAATGGTAAATCCAGGTGTGAAATACTGTTCCTAAATACCTGGTCCTGAAATGATAAATCCAGGTGTGAAACACTGTTACAAAATACATGGTACTGAAATGATATATACAAGTGTGAAATACTGTTACTAAATCCATGGTACTGAAATGATAAATCCGGGTGTGAAATACTGTTACTAAATACATGGGACTGAAATGATAAATCCAGGTGTGAAATTCTGTTACTAAATACATGGTACTGAAATGGTAAATCCAGGTGTGAAATACTGTTCCTAAATACATGGTACTGAAATGATAAATCCAGGTGTGAAATACATGTATTGCTCTCTACACATGCAGCATTATATTTTACCTAAACTTTACAACAGCCTGTCTCTTCTTGAATAGGAAAAGTTAGTATTTAGTTAAATGGTTTTGGAAGGAATTCCTCATTTTTCGGTCAGTATGGGAAAATAAGGCACATTTTCGCTAAGGGTCTAAGCAGCATGTATTCAATTGTAAAACTATGCAAAAGAATACAAGAAAAACTGCATGGTGATCACTGATGCAAATAGTTGCTTGATTCATGTGTGTAATTTTACTGTGCTGACTGATACAATTAAAAAACAAGAATGAGGAAATTTATTATATTTCTGTACAAGCTTTGTTATTTTTAACACCAGCTTAAAATATCTGTATCTGAAAATAGCTCAGCATCTATTCACAAACAGGCAGCTGTAGACATATACATCCCATGTCTGGCTAACTATCTCGCCTCTGGATTCTTCTCACTGACAGGTTTCTTTGTACACGGTACTTAAATTAAAAACAAAGCAGTATTGCTAAAATCCGTTAAAGGAAGATTTTACTAATCAGCTTTTCCTAGCTAAATCATTTCAAAATTCAAGTAACAGAGATAGTAAATAGTAAAAAGATTGAGTTTTGTGATTGTGTATTTATATATATACAATGTACCACAAATTACACTGGTTTTACAGTATATGGGTTAGTGAGTTGAACTGAAGAGTTATACTCAGTTGAACAGTTTTATTTTTAAGTGTGTTTTCCTTCAGTACTTAACAGAATGATGGTAATTACCACGTTAGAGTGTATACCTTCCAGTGCAGTGCTAATTTAGACATAATAAGGGTTTTAAGGTGAAATAGATTGATATAGGCCATCAATCACAGCAATATTACCTCAAGTTCATAAATCACACATTAAAGTACATGTATACAAGCTTACTTTGGAACATCAATATTAAATTGACAGTAACCATTTTATAAGTGAAGAAATTTTCTGGTCATAAATTGACATCATGGCGTTGATCAAACTATAGTGATAAGCGTGTGAGTATAGGTTTGTATAATGGTATGATTGGAATTTCTAGCTTAGTCACTCAGCAAAAATCATCCTTCTCGACACCCTGTTAACACACCTTTAATCAAGTGACCAATGGCCAGATCTCTGCTCGGACATCAGCCTTTATATTGATATGCGATATTAAAACATATTTCCTGTTTTTATTTGAAGGCTTGAAATCAATTATACACCATGTGTAACATAACATGTAGGTAGTACCTGATGAGGTAAACATGTATATCTGGAATATCTTGGATTGATAACACATTTTTAAGAAATAACAAATATAACACACAATTTTTTCTGATATAAAACTCACAGCTACAATTTATGCTGGAGGTATAGTTAACACTGACAGAAAAGCTGCTATATATACATGTGTTTATCTTTGTGGAAATTGGATGAATGACAGCAACATACATCTAAGATGAATGTAGACAGCGAGGTATTTCAATGTTGAAGTATAAATAGGCTCACAAATAAACATCTGATACTTATTAATTCTGAAGTAGTATGTATGGCTTTGTTGAATATCCCGAGTTTCTGAATGTACATAAGGATGTACAACATTCTCCCATGGGATACGTTTATACACACCTTTTTCAGTTATCTCCTCATTAGTTCTCATATTTTGATACAGGGGGCGTTAAAATCGGCCGCCATTACGACCGTGATTGACAACAATAAACAAATTGGAGGCGCAAATTACTCAATTTTCTGCAGCGAATATGTGAGTCAAATTATATGAAACTAGTAACGGATTCGGCATAACAACATCGTAGGAATTACAATGTCTCATTCTAAACATTTGAAATCTGTTGACATTCGTCCTGGTTCTATCGAACCGGCGGAATGGAAGGATGATATGCGAGCATGACCGACTGTTTTTTACGGTAACATTTACGATTACTTGGTACACAGTCAGGCGCTAGATGGCTAACATCAGAGGTGAGACCGTCTCAAAAAGCAAACCAAGATTATCCTTTACCTTGGGTGTTGTGTAACCTTAACGGAAGGATACAAACTGGAGAGTGTACGTGTGTTGCTGGTAAAAGCAAAACGTGTAGTCATGTCGGGGCAACTAGGAACTAGTAAGCTACTTACTCGAGATCAAGTGTCCTTTGTTAAGCTTTGATTCCTTAGAAGCTTACTCTCATTCAGGAAAATATGATGTGGTAAGGATCAATGACACAAATCAGTTAAAACAAAGGGGCAGTAAAGGCTATTATATTTAAGTCCAACTTGCAAAATTGCAAATTAGTATTATGGACACCTGAAAATATCAGGAGATTAGTTATGATGTGGACTTATGTACTGTAGAAAGGAAATCCCAAGATTAAGGAAAAAGTATACTTTCAGAAATTTCTGTCAAGAATTGTTGATAATTTTGAATCTGCTAGGTTTCTATTAACTGCTGAATACAAAATTATTTGCAGTAAGAACCGATAACAAATGAGTCAGAGAAAATGAAATATCTTTATTGCATATTTACTTGTTATTCAATTTTTGTTGAAATCTGAAAAATTGCATATATTCACCATTACAAGAGTGTTACTGTTACAAGTAAATAATCTTGTAACAGTTTTTAGCTCACCTGGCACGAAGTGCCAAGTGAGCTTATGCCGTGGCGCGGCGTCCATCGTCCGTCCGTCGTCGTCCGTCCGTCGTCCGTCCGTCCGTCCGTCCTCGTCCGTCAACTTTTCCTTTAAACAACTTCTTCTGAAGAACGGACAGGCCTAGAGTCATGATATTTGGCTGAAAGCTTCGTTGGTAGGAGCCCTACAAAGTTTGAGAACGAAAATGACCTTGACCTGTTTTCAAGGTCACAGGGGTCAAATATGTCAAAAACTTCAAACGACTTCTTCTAAAGAACTAAAAGGTATAGAATCTTCATATTTGGCTGATGGCTTCCTTGGATGGAGCCCAACAAAGTTTGAGAATGAAAATTACCTTGACCTTCTTTCAAGGTCACAGGGGTCAAATGTGTCAAACACTTCAAACGACTTCTTCTGAAGAACTGAAAGGTATATAATCTTTATATTTGGCTGGTGGCTTCCTGGGATAGAGCCCAACAAAGTTTGAGAATGAAAACTAGTTTGACCTACTTTCAAGGTCACAGGGGTCATATATGTCAAAAGCTTCAAATGACTTCTTCTGAAGAACTGAAAGGTATAGAATCTTTATTTTTGATTGATGGCTTCCTTGGATAGAGCCCGACAAAGTTTGAGAATGAAAATGACCTTGACCTTCTTTCAAGGTCACAGGAGTCAAATGTGTCAGACACTTCAAACGACTTCTTCTGAAGAACTGAAAGGTATATAATCTCTATATTTGGCTTGTAGCTTCCTAGGAAAGAGCCGAACAAAGTTTGAGAATGAAAATGACCTTGACCTTCTTTTAAGGTCACATGAGGCAGATATGTCAAACACTTTAAACGACTTCTTCTGAAGAACTGGTAGTTATAAAATCTTAATATTTGGCAGGTGGCTTCCTGGGAAAGAGCCAAACAAAGTTTGCGAATGAAAATGACCTTGACCTACTTTCAAGGTCACAGC